GCGTCGTTGAGAAGACGAACGTTTCGACCTCTCTTCAAAGGCCTGACGTTCTCCTTGAAGAGCTCCCACTCGTACCCCGTCTCCTGCATTGAATCCAGAAACTCAGCCTCTCGGTCAACGAACTCTACACCAGTTTCCGCCATCTTCGTCTTCTTCAGAGAGAGAGAGAGATTTGAATTACAGGGGCTTCTTTGGGAAATTCAAGAGAAAAATAGCCGTTACACTGAGAGGAGAGAAGGTTTCGTGTGTATATCAGTGTATGTACATATAGCCGGGCGAGAGTGAGATTTGAATTACGGGGCATCTTCGGGAAATTCAAGAGAAAAATAGCCGTTACACTGAGAGGAGAGAAGGCTTCGCGTGTATTGGTGTATGTACATGTTGCCACGCGAGTGTACGCTCTCGCGTGGGCCCGCAAATGGTCCGCTTTTTCTTTTTGGGCCGAGCTCACTTTGCCTTTCATTTCGTTTCAAAACACTTGGAAAATGTCACGTGGGCAACATCAAATAGAAATCTAATGTTCGGCAGTAACATGGGGGACGTGTTTTGACCATTTTACCCTTTTAGTACCCTTGGAAGTGGGATATTACGAGTGGACATTATTAAAAATACATTTACTTTGTTATTTTGGTTTCAACTTATCATTTAATCTATGTGACCCAAAATATAGTGTAGTCATATGTTGATTTCATTGTTTATAACATTAAATTTATGATGTTTTAATCAAATAATTAGTACGATATACAAAATATGAATATAATGAATTAGTATGATCACCATAAATTTAACGTTATAATCAATAAAATTAAAATGTGATCATACTATATTTTGGATCACATGAATCACATAATCACAGTTAAAAAAGAGTATATGTTGAAGTCAAAATAGCAAGATAAAGATACCTCGAAGTTTATCAATAGTGAAGTGAAATAAAATATATAAGCATATTTGCCAGATAAGCACTTCGGATTTGTGCATTTCTACTTTCCACTCCTCGATTTTTATTTGTTTTTTTCTGATTTAATTTTTTTTTGAAAAATCTTTACACGCTCAATTTCTTATTTTAGAACTCTTTTCGTTTTCAAATTTTATTAATTTGTTTTGATTGGTCTTATATTTTTTTAAACGACGATAATTTGATTATAAAAAGTTATATGCAATTAGTTTTTTTAATCAAATTATCTATATGATAAGATCTATTCTCGGTTCAATTTATTTTTACATATCACAGGGAAATACAAACAATAGGTCTTTGATAAGAAATTATAAATCAATAGTTATCACACTCTATAAAAAAAAGCATATATATGGTATAAGATTGTTGAGATTAGTTGTGTCATTTTGCGTTTATATTCTAGTAGTAGTGAAGCCTCTCATTCTATAATATATGCACAAGAGAAAAATGTACAAATGAGACGTTTATCATAGTTTTTTGGTAAATGAAAAAGTTGGATCCTCAAAGAGTAAAATAGAAAAATTAACCAGTTCTATTCACTTGAAAAAACTGTTAAGTACAACTCACTTTTTGTTAGAGCTACTCAACACCCAGATAAAACTCCCCCTGAGTTTCAACTCTCTCACAATGAATTCTACCGATCAAAAACGTTACCAACCCAAATGTTCACCAAAAGAATAGAGATTTTTCCATTAGGTCTCCCCCTCAGATCTACGCCCAAACACTCACCAGAGGTTAAGAGATTTGCCCAATCGGTCACCGCCTCAGTCACACACTCACTCAAAAGTGAGTTATCACTCACCAACAAAAAGACTATCTTTTAGTAAAATATGCTTTGCTCTCCGTGAGAACTGATATGCAGCTTGTGTCTCCTTTATATAGGCTCCTCAAATTTGTCTTAGATCTCCACAAATTGATTTGATAGACTTCTCCTTGATTCTCTTCGATTTTATCTCTATCTCCAAGATCTCATCTTTATCTCTATTTTTTCAACTCTTTGACTTTATCTCCAAGATATTATCTCTATCTCAAATCTCCTCAAATCTTCTCAGTTTTGATTCTATCTTCATCTCTTGGAGTCAAATCCAAACTTCGTGGCTCTTTCTCTTCAGATTGCTTTCTCTAAAATCTCTTCAAGTGGTTGACATTGAGTCCATCTCAATCTCTTAGTCTTTGACTTTTTCTGAAACTCATCAGTTGTACCTCAGATTTGCGTGAGTTCTATCTCGCCGGATTCTTCTCTTGAAATCTCTACTGAAATATCTCAAGTTTGTTGAACCTGCAATAACCATTTAATAACAAAAAAACACATGTGCAAATACACTAACAGTAAATATAAATTATATATATATATATATATATATATATATATATAAGTTTTTGATACAAAGGGAAATTTATCACAGAATGCGTGAATTACAAGCAGATAACACTAGGTGAAAAATATGAGAGTCGTAAATACAAGTTATAAATAAAGGTAAAGTTGTGATTACACTCACTTGTCCATTGTCCCATCATCCGTTCTAGAATTGAAGAAGAGTGAAAGAGCTTACAAGTTACAGTGTCATTATTATTATTATTACTGTTATATGTATATGGTAACGCATGATTTTACGTTATGTATATTTTGCTTAGTTTCATTCAAATATATATTAACTTTCCATTTCCCTAATTTTTTTTGGGTAAATTTCATTTCCCTAATTTAGTTCGCCCAAATATATATATATCTAACAGAAGTCATCAAATAAGCTTTTCAGCAGTAAAAAAAATGACTAAAACCTTTAGTACATTTTTTTCTTTTTCTAAAAATATAAAATTCACATTGAATAAAGAATGCCGTTTGAAAACAGCCAATAAGGTAAGAATCCCAAGACGAGGCTTTTTTCCTCCGTCTCGATAAATCATATCGAAATTCAAAACGCATAATCAAAGCAACGTGCAAGTAAAAAAAAAAAAACTATCATTCGCTATCATGGCAGTGTCCCCTTAATTTTCACCATGCGCGCACGTTAGCCCCTTCCTTTTACCCTTACCGTGCGCATCCAAACTAGTCCCCATTCCTCACCACTCAACGCACGCGCAGGCGGCGCGTGAAATCACCTCCGGCAGATCTGCTCCCCTCTTCCATTCGCCCTCCGCCGTGTCGTACACCAAAACCAGACTCTCTCTCAACCCTCTCTCGCTCCTTCCGCTTCGCCGGAGCAAATCGTCTATGCATCCCACAACCTGAACCACCGCTACCTTGTCTTCCACCCCAACGCAGCTGAATCTCACCGTCCCGTCTAATCGAACCTGCGGCGGAAGCGGCGGAGACCTCAGCCTCCTCCATTCCCCTAATGCACCGCCTCCGCCGCCAGTGCGGTGTCGGAGGGCATGGAACCGCCAGAACGGCCACTGGCTTGCCCCAACGTCGAACAGATCCATGGAGCTCGCGTAGACGGGTGCCTCGGCGGCGGCAGCTCCCGCTGCGGCGGCGCGTGAGAGGTCGTTAACGATTTTGAGGCCTCCGATGACGTAGAAGACGCCGTCCAAGGCTGTTCCGATGCATCCATACCTTCTTCGTGGGGCTTGAGCCACCACTCGCCATCGGTTTTTCTGAGGATCGTACTCTTCCACCGCAGCCGCGACACCGGATCCACCGCCTCCTCCTCCAGCAACGTAGATCTTACCAGAAACGACAGCCATGGCGAACTTCTTCCGAGGGAAAAGCATCGGAGATCTCACGGTGACAGTTCCCATCCACGAATTGTACCTCAAGACGGAGTTTCTGCTAACAACATAAACCCTGGATCCGATAGCTACCGCGCGAGCATGAGCAAGACCTACCTGACCACCATCGAAACAAGTTGAGGAGCTACTAGAAGCCGCGAAAGAGACTCTCCAGCCGCCAGTCTCACACTGGAACTGCAGAATCGCGGCGAAGAGGCCGGATTCGACGGCGGAGATCGCGAGGAGAGAATGCCGGAGGAGGCCTAGACGGCGGCGGAGGTGAAGAAAGTAAGGGGAAAGGAGGAGGCGAGACCACCGGCGACAGACGGCGGCGAGAGAGGGAATGTAGGAGGAAGGAATTCTGGAGAGACATTCGAGCAGCAAATCGTCCGGCAGAGAAGAAATCTCCGTCTCCGTCGACGCTGAAGAAGCCACCGGAGAAGGTTGGTGGATCGGAGCTAGGGATTTGGCGTCCGACGGATTCGGGCGGCAAGATTTCATCAGCCATGAGAAATGCCGAGAGTTGCAGCTCTCTGACATTCGAAGAACAAAATGTGATCTTTTAATAAATGAATGAATAAAATAAATTGGAAGCGAAGTCTATGAGTATTTAAGATTTTGGATGGCCTTTGCGTATCTAGTATCTACTAATAATAATAATATCCACATAGTGTTGATTAGCTTACATCTAGACATGTCACATGTTCATGTTGAATATTTTGGTATTTGAATTTTCTCCTCCCAAGTAGTCAGAATAATTCACGTGACTTTTCTTTTTCCTTTTTTAAACAAAACTTAAGTAGGGCAACAACATTGTAATCCACAAGCAACAAGATTGTAATCCACAAAAATTCCCAATTCATAAAAATATAAATTTTCCAGTTAAAAATTTGTCCTACATATTTCTCAATTCATATATTGTTTTTCAATAAACATCCATTAAAAGAACGACATTAGTTATCCATCCGACGTGACATTTTTATTTAAATCATATCAAATGGATTAGTTATCCATCCGAATCGACAAATCAACAAATCCAATTATATATGAAATGGATTAGTACAAACAAGTTTAAAAAAAAAAAAACTAAAGAAACTAGTATCCGCCACGAAACCCCATGGTGGTGCTCCACAGTCTTCCAAGACCTGAAAGGAGAAAATCTAGGGTTTGAGGTCTCAGATTGAAAAGAAAATGGTTTAATTTATGAAAAAATGGTGATGGTGTGATGAGTATTAGTATTTTACAGAAAAAATACTATATTATATTCTATAAATGCGGAATAGAGTATTCTAAATCAATTATCATGTTCATCATACAAACAATTTTCTATATAAAGTAAATATACATGAATCTGTTGTAACTTGACAAACGGTAGAGTATTAACACATGTAAAAGGGTATATGAGTCTTTGTCTACTTCCATATTAGGGTTTGTCTATATATGTATATAAATAGGCATGTAAATGAATGACAAAGTCAGAGAATTGCTTTCACGTTGGTTACGTGACATGGTATCAGAGCGTATCCAAGGTTAAGGTATTTTTTTCCCCATTTCTAGCTTCTCTCTCATATTTCTGCGTGTTCTTCAGCATGTCTGGCGCTTCCGCTGAGTCTGTGTCGAGTCCATCGGAGCAAGGTCAGTCGAACACGGCACAAGTGCAGGTGCAACGGCGCACGATATCTCCGTACGATATCACCGCCAATGATAATCCCGAAAATCTGATTTCTCACACGTTGTTGAAGGAACACAATTACAGTGATTGGTCTCGGGATATTCGTACGACATTACGTTCGAGAAAAAAATTTGGATTTGTTGATGGCTCGATTCCTAGACCATCACCGGATTCGAAGGATTTGGATGATTGGTGGACTATCAACTCTCTTATCGTGTCATGGTCTGTCCAACCAGAATTCCAGTCACGTGTTCAGTCTGAATCCAAGGATAAATCATCCACTTGCACGCACTGTGGTCGTGCTGGTCACTCAGTCGATTCCTGTTTTGAGATACATGGCTTTCCCAATTGGTGGTCCGAACGTGGAGGTCGTGGTAAGCATGCTCGAGGTCGTGGTGGTCGGAACTCTGGACGTGGACGTGGTCAATCTCACTACAAAACAATCCTCGAATTCCAACAGATTTTCCAACGGATTTGTCCGTTGGAAAATTTCCAACGGATTTTCAACAGTTTTCAACGGCGTTTCAACGACGATTTCCGTTAAAATTCCGTTGAAAATTTCCAACGAGTATCCGTTGGAAACACCCGTTGCAAATTTTTAACGGAATTTTCAACGTATTCAATTGAAAAATTGGGTTGGAAATTTCCAACGGTATTTCCAACGGATATCCGTTAGAAATTTTCAACGGATTAACGTTGGAAAAATCGGTTGCAAATTTTTAACGGAGTTCCAACGGATGTTTGTTAGAAAACAATTCCAACGGAATTCCAACGGATGCCGGTTGAAAATTCTTTTGGAAATTTTTTTAAAAAATTCCAACGGAATTCTAACGGATGGCGGTTGGAATTTTTTTTGGAAATTTTTTTTAAAAAAATTCCAACCGAATTCCAACGGATACCGGTTGGAATTTTTTTTTGAAAATTTTTAAAAAATTCCAACGGAATTCTAACGGACATCGGTTGAAAATTTGGATTTTAATTGAAAAATCAATTGAA